ACAAAAATCAATATATAATCATAAATACATCTAGTTAGTACAATCAACTCACTCAAATAAACTAAAAAATATTAAGACTACTTCATGTCACTCTAAGACTTGAAAGCAATGCGTCTATGTTTATTTTTATTACTTAGCTACTAAGATGTTTCAGTGATTCAGACTGTTTCCCCCAAGGGAAAGGGGCACATAAAGAACAGTGATCATCATTGAACATTATATGGCATTAAAGCTTGTGAAAAGCTTTCTGGTCCTGCTTTCTCATCTGGAAAATCATTAACACACAAGGTGATTGTAATGTATTAAATAAATTAATAAATATGGAGGGTCTGCGGATCTAAAGTGACATGAAAGTCACTCAGTCGTGTCTGACTCTTTGCGACCCCATGGACTATACTGTCCATGAAATTCTCCAGGCCAGAATACTGGAGTGGGTAGCCTTTCCCTTCTCCAGGAGATCTTCCCAATCCAGGGATTGAACCCAGGTCTCCTGCACTGCAGGCGGATTCTTTATCAGCTGAGCCACAATCACTATTAAAATGTATGGAACACTTCCATCATTCCAAATTTGTCATCTTTTGCAGTATGGCAAATACACATACATGATATTAATATTTTAACATGTTTGGTTTTCTGGATGATTTTGTCATTTATATTCCAGGGGGGCAGCTGTGTTTCGAAAAACATTCAAGTATGTATCTTCAAAACACCTCGCCAAGCAAATATAGATCATTCACATTAGTATACAATCTCTCAGCATGTAAAAAGTGAATACTAATACAAATCATATGAAAAGGCAGAGAAGAGACAATTTTAAAGTTCAAAGGTAACCCAGGGGTCTTTTAATTTCTCCCTTCCACTTCAGAGGTTATAAAAATGAAGCCCAACACAGGATGTGACTTACAAATTGCACAGATCCCTCATCCAGAATTTTAGAGTCTCTGAGATCTATTATTTTTAAAAAGTACATTCTCTATTTAAAAAGTCACAGAGTGACAAAAGTATAAGGTAAAGAAACGCCAAACTGAAAACGTGGAGGTCTTTTAAAAAGAAATAAAAACAGACAAAACTGTGAGTATGTCTAGCATTTAGATACTTAGATTTCACAGTCATTAACAAGATTTTAAACTATTAATCAGTGAAGAGATAAAGATGCAGTGCCTATGGCAGGCAGATTCCACGATCATTTAGTTTATAAAATTGAAGGTACATTGCTTAGATTAATTCAATAAAATGTACATTTTCAGATAAATCCAAATAGTCAAAGAATCTGTAACAGTTGTTTATGATTATTTTCTCAATTATGTCTCATCTAATATAAAAATCAATTTGTATTCCCTGAGTACAAACTGGCTAGGGAATAAGAGAAAGCAAGCCCAGGATTATGTAACTGTCACAGAAACCTATTTGCAGAAAGGAAAGGGGAGAACCGTTTGTCCTACATATAGCCAATTGCCTGACATGAAATACTGTTACTTCCGAATAATTTAGGCTCCTGGATTCTCTTTATGGCTAGCAAGTATCAAGGAATGCAAACACCAGAGGTTACAAAAGAGTCTCAAATGTCTGTTGATCAAAACAAAAGCCCAAATTGTAATAGTCTGCCTCCCACCCTACATATGTAATTTGGGATGTTGTTTGTTCCTTCACTGAAGAATAACTGGAATTAGATCTAAATTTGGTGTGTTCTTATATAAAAGTGTTCAGAAAATGTTCACTGAAATGTACACTTTCTGAAAGAAGGAATCAAAGCTATTGACTCATTACCCATTGAGCCAAAGCATTAGTCACTAGTCTCTTACACCATTTTTACAAGTAATCTTATTTAAGGTTTTTTAATTATCCATTCAACACAAAAAAAGAATAAATTTTGCTCGCCACAAAATACAAAACCTGATTAAGACAATCAAAGTGCTATGAAATAAATTGTAGGCATGCAAAATTCCACTAACCCAGTGTTCGCTCAAGATGAATATGTATACAGGTTAAAATAATTCTGATTTCGAATCAGATTCTCTCCAACAACTGACAACTGATAAGGGCAAATGAAAGCTTAGTTTTATTTTTATCTACCTAATTATGGCAACCTGGTAGATAATTTTCTTAAAATCATATTTTCCAAATATGCTTTTTCCCCCAAGGGATAGTAAGTTTAAAACAATGTTTAAATTAATTTGGACAAAGCAGGATTAAACAAATTTAAATGATTTTCTTTTTCCACAGAAGGACTGGTCAAAGTCTTTAATGGTCACATCCTTTTGTCATCTTTAAGCAGGAGAGTAACATGTTTCATTTATCAGACTTGCTCAATGAAACCCCCTTTCTGCAGAGCATCTCACAGAATGCAGTTTCAGAAATGCTGTTCTAGAACCATTATGGACTCCTTTTCCATGATATAGCTAAGACTTTATCTGTAGCCTAATAATAGAGTTCTCCTTCAAAATCATAACATGAAGAAAGTGTTCCTACCCCAGGTCTGTCTACCACATACCACATCCACACTCATCCAGGTTACAAGACTGAAATGTGGGAATTTAGCAACTGATTCTTTCCCTTGTCCTGCATGAGCCGCAGAGAGACTCCTATGAAGATGTTCTAGACCTATCATGCTGGACTGAGCCTCCTGTAATAATTTCTCTGCAGACCAATGTATCACATCAGCTACATTCACAGAAGAGCTGTCTCTAAAAACTTCAGCATACAAAAACCCAAACTGTGACCCTTGGTTCTCTGAAAACACGTAGCTATCGAAACGTAGATATTCATAAATACTGGCAAGAATGAAAAAATAGTATATAATTTTTTAACTTTAAAAAACATGATAACCATATAAAGCAATTTTAATATGTTTCTAACATCTGATTCATTAAACTAAGGAAGTTAAAATGCCACTGGATTCCTTCTTACTGTTTCTCTGCCTTCAAAATTATTAGGGATTTTGTCATTGGGAGTAAGGAGTCAGATTAATTTATTTTGAAGGTCATCCCATTATGAGGTGGCCCTGTGTTTTCCAGAAGAGGTATTTACACATTTGTTGGGGCCAAAATTTTGCCAGATGTATATACACATCGAGATTAATGCAGCAGGACTGCTTATCCCTATAAAAATATACACAAAAAAGTATACTTTGATGCCACTAGATGGCAATCTTTCAAAGGTTTAAATTTTTAAAACACCTTAACTGCAACCCAACTCTCTTTCTCAAATTGGCAAACAAGGATTCCTTGTATTTTGATATTAAGTCATACTTAAAAGTTATGTAACACCATTTTTTAAACAATACCAAGCGGCACACTGCAGACTCCTGGCTCGACCCTCTTTAGAGATGGACGTACTTGTCCTTCCCAGACACGAGAGAGATTTGGTTTAACATCCTCATCTGCTTCTTGGTAGGAAACACGTTACTTTTGGCAAAGAGAGAGCAATCTGTCAAGGAAGTGTTCACTTTTTGTCTTCAAGAGCTTAAACACTTAATCATTTCTAGGGTAAGTCAGGTGAATGAGACTGTTAATTACAACATATTGAACAAGACAAATAAATACAAATTAGATAAATTACACATAATTTAAAAATAAAATATTTTTTTACTAAAACAGAATATAATCAATGGGCTATTATCTACCCTGCTTTTTATATAGGGTGTTTTTTTTTTTTAAGCCTTAAAAAAACTTGCACAAAGCCAAAAAAGAAAAAAAAGTTTGGTTTTCCTTTAAAAGCACTGGTATACAAATACATATATGTATATATGTAAACAACACATATATTTATTCAAGAGAGATTTTTTTTTGAATGTTTAAGGCTTCCCTGCCCTAACAGGTTCAACAGTGAAGGTCACAAGCCTACCAAGCTTTGGAAGTACACAAAAGCCCTTAAGGCCAGAAGAGTGTTTCAAATTGGATGGCTAGCAACCAAGATGTAGAACAAAGACAGAGAACCAGAGAAGATTTCAAAACTAAGTCCATCAGCCACTAAGGATCAAACAATAAGCAAAGACAAGGGTGATTAGGGAAGGTGAGGGAGTAGGGTGACTACAATAACAAACTTCTGATGAGTAATTAGTATTACAGGATGCAAAAGGACAGGTACACACTCCTCACCACCACACACAGTAAGAGACCAAAGGTAAGAGTTCTCTTTAAGGGACTGTTGACATTTTGCTTTGTTTCATTTAACTATTTTATCATGCTCAGTGGAGTACAAAAATAAATACAGTGAAAAAGAACTTGAGAAAGGTAGATTTTGAAGGCATGTTGTAAAATGATACAAGTTTATGAAAAAGACAAAAGTTATAATTCCAGATGTTCCAGTACTGAGTAGAACCTTGAAGGCTCTTATATATGTTATTCAGGAAAATCTCAAGATAAAACCTCTGGTTGGTTATAGCTGTTTTGAAGGAACCTGGAAATAACCATTACCTGTTTCAGGACCACAGCCCTTCTGTTGAACACTGGGCAATATCTGCAGAAACTGCTAGTAGAATTTGGTTCTAAAATTTGGGGAAGGGGGAGCTGGCTCTTAAGATTTCAACATTTAAATACTATCTTACCAATATTTATGTTATTTTTAAATCTTGTGCGTAAACACAGCTTAAAGCCTGCTGAAATTTACGAAGCAAACAGGATTTACCTACACTAAACAGTAAAGCAGGATGTTGCCAAACTACCTGTTGACTGAGATAGTTCACCAGTAAAGGTATATTAATCATCTATAGTGAATCCACAATTTTAGGTTAACAATAACCTTCATAAGTGTTCACATATTAAAGACACTGCCTACGTGAATTTATAATAGGCAAAACAGAATTACAGATGTCTACAGTACATAAAATGTCAGACTTTTCCTTTTCAGTAAATTTCAATTGTACTGTGTCCCCTGAAGACAGTCACGGCTCTCAACCAGTACTTCAGAGTATGTGATAGCCATAAGTAAAATAATAATTTAAAGAATATATCTGATTTTCACAGTGCAATAACAGAAAGAAAAAAACTAGGGAAAGATCATCAGCGTGCTAAAGTAGTGATCAGACTGGCACACATTTCAAAAAAATCCATGGTGTGACTGCCCAGGCGAGGTGAGACAGAGGACGACATGCTTCCGGTCAAGGAGCCCATGAGAGAGCTAGGGAGTGAATGGCCCTCCGCAGTTCCAGAATCCAAACTGGACCGTGGTCTGTGTAAGCCAGCAGCAGAACAGGACCGCTGAGGCGTTGAGGAACCAGACCTCTGCTCCACCACCTCATCTGAAACGGACCAAAGAAGAGCAACTTACATGAACAGTGTATTCCCCCCAGCCCTTCTATGAAGGTATCTTATTCAGAATATTAAGTGAACACATCTGAGCCAGAGCATCCTGGGAGCCAATGTCATGTTGCAGTGTTTTAGGAGTAGGGGTGGCAAAAACTTTTCCCTCCCACAACTGTGAAGGACATCACTAACCAACTGTAACACTGCCACGCAGTCAAAATGTGATGACTAAATCCTTCTCAACATACTGTTTGACAGCAACCTCGAAGTCAAAGGTCCCTGATACCCTTTTATCTGAAGAAAGCACACCTTTGGAGGATTATTTTCTTGCAGTATATCACAACAACAAAAAATAATTAATATAAAAACAGAAATTACAATTGCACTGATTCTTCAGAGCACACTGCAATTGCCTGGGGGAAGGGGCAAAGGAAATCTTGTTAAAAATGCTTATTCCCAGTTTCCCAAGGACCCATCTTCAGAGATTCAGATTTTCTAATTTGGGAGAGTTCCCAAGAATCTGCATTTTAATAAGAACTCTGGATAATTTTGAAAAAGGTGTTCTAGGAGCCATATAGACACAGCTATAGTTGATGGCAGTTTAAGAATAAAGTTTAAACTGTTGAAAACAGCTTCCTTAACTCTGAACTTGGTTTTCCTCTGATTCCATCCAGCAGTGGATTCTCGGTTTATTCTGCTTACATCCTACTTGGGCCTCTGAGCAGAATAAGCACATTTGCTCAGCCAAGTATGACTCTCAACTCATACTAGATCCTTGGACATGACCAGCTCCCCTGACTCCTTTGCCTCTTGGATGGCCATGGGCATAAAATCCAACCCAAATCCCAGGAGAGGACTATCTAGACACCAGGGCTACCCAAGATAAAAGAAACTAATCAACAGGGAATTTTAGCTATTATAAATAATAATGCTTGCTGATAAAATATAAAAGGAGAAGTGTGACAACCTAATTCAGCTAATTGTAGGTAAAAATTATTTCCCTATTATTCCTTATTTTCCTCCACAGTCAACACTTCAAATGACTTTTTTTAAAAAAAAAAACGAGGAAGCACTTCTCCAGAAGAAGTGCTAGATTAGATTTTTTCCTCATCTTCAATCCTTTTGTTTCACTTACATTCTTAGTTAAATCTAGATTACTAAAAACCAGTATAGAAGACTACCCACCATGTCTTTGAGATGATTTAATATCTTGTCAACTAGTGCCAAGTTTTATCTTCTCAGAGCTCATGCTTGCATGGCTTCCTTACCATCAATGCTTTTAAAGTCCAAAAGATAGCTTCTATTGTCAACCAGGTACAGCTGTAAGCTCATTTTCACATAATTGCCAGTCACTGGATTTCTTCTTCTTACACGTAGATGGTATGCATTCACTACCTAAAATGAAAAATCTTCTTTATAAAAAAACATTCAAAATAAAAAACTATAAAATATTTCCATTATTTTTATTGCAAAGAATTATATCTAAACAAATAATTGGAAGGGTTGGGGTAGAGAACAAATTTCTGAATGATTGTGTTTTACATTACATAGTAGTTTAGTATTTATTTAATCCCCACTAACAGTACTGTGTGGGGAACTGCTGCCCGCTCCCGTATTCCTTCCTGGAGAACTCCATGGACAGAGGAGCCTGGCAGGCTACAGTTCATGGGGTCACAAAGGGTTGGACATGACTGACTGACTTTCGCTTTCAACAATACTGTGTACAGCAATTAAAATTGAAAGGGAACTCAGAGATTCTAAGAGTCTAGCCTTCATTCCAGACACGCCTCCACTCTAAACCATATTTTGGTTGCCAAAATATTTTGGTTTCCCTGTCTCAATTTGAATACCTTTAACTATGAATATAGAACAGACAGAAAAAGGAGATATAACATGTTAATGGTTTGAATCAGGCACTGTTAATAGGTACTGTCACAAAGTTTAAGTATCATAGTAATCTTGTGAGGAAGGTATTATTTGCCTTTTGAGGATAATAAAACTGCAACTCAGATAAAGAAGATTCTAGTGTTCAAAATACCTTATCAAATTAGTTCCAAAAATTTCTCAATAAGGACTTTTAAAGACACTAACATGTCTTTTTAAACTAACTAAATAAAACTGTTCAGAAAAGGGAGCTCTTTCTTAAATAGTATTAAGGAAATATTATTGTTTATTCCCTCATTGTTCAGTTGGTAAAGAATCTGCCTGCGATGCAGGAGACCCTGGTTTGATTCCTGAGTCAGGAAGATCTGCTGGAGAAGGGATAGGCTACCACTCCAATCTTCTTGGACTTCCCTTGTGTCTCAGCTGGTAAAGAGTCCACCTGCAATGTGGGAGACCTGGGTTTGATCCCTGGATTGGGAAGATCCCCTAGAGAAGGGAAAGGCTACCCCCTCCAGTATTCTGGCCTGGAGAATTCCATGGACTGTATAGTCCATGGGGTCACAAAGAGTCAGACATGACTGAGCAACTTTCACTTTCACCGTTGTTTATTCATTCCATATACAAATAATGAAATAAAAACATGTCAAATGAATATTTACATGGTATGTTTGAATGTTTTTCTTCCCTTAAAAGTACATTCACAGTCCTCAAGAAAGGAACAACAGTAAAAGATACTTGAAAATGAAAAACAGATCCCCCCAACATATAGTCAAATAGAACTGAAATGAATTTGAGTACTAATAAAAAACAAAAAAATACTAATAAAGCAAAATGTGGGATGAGAGTAACAAAAATACATCACAACTAAGGACTAAAAATACTAGCCAAATAAGAAATTTTCTCAACTTACAGAAAAGTATTTGTTTACTAAATAAACATGCCCTGATGGTATAATGTGTATCAACCACTTGTGCTACAGCTACTGGCAAAAAGAAAAAAAAAAATCTGCCCTTAAAAAGACAGAGAAAGGTAAAAATATACTATCTTTGAAGACACATGACTTGTTACTATTATGATACATGCTAAAACAGGTGGACTATTTTCTCAAGGGATTTCAAGTTGATTAAAACCATGTTTCTCAGCCAAGAATACTATTCTCTATTCAAAAATATATAGGTCCCCAACATCGACAATTCATCTTTATGAAGATTTGTTTTGTTTTGAATGCACATGGTACATTATTGGAAAGAATAGGATTTATCAGTCCATTTATTTATTAAGACCACTAAATTCATATCAAAATCAACTTTTTATTGATCTTAGTACTCAATTCAGCAGCTCACACAGGCTTACTATACAGAAAATGGCTTCTACAAATGATCTTCATATACTACAATTTCCTACCTTCCATTCAAAATCCAGTTGCTTCATAGCTCGGTAAACTTCAGCCATAATGTCATATGGTTTGCTTTGACTTCGGATTCCAAGATGCCACTTGGCTTTTTTCACAGCTAAAGATTTGGGCTTAGTTGTATTCAGTGCATCCAGTGGACATCGTGCTTTAGGGCTGTCTGCTATAAGAGGTGGCATCCTTTCCGGATGAGGTTTCAGGCCTGGGGGAATATGCATGGTACTATCATCCATAAAAGAACCAGTTGGGGGACTAGAGGCGAGGTAGAACTCACTGGCTTGGTTCATTATTCTCCGATTGTCAATGATAAGATGATAAGCCACTGCAAGCTGGTCTTGAGGGTCACCACTATATAAACTGTTCATTACTTCTGATTCTGTACACTCAAATTTTTCACACACTTCTTTCACAGCCTCATCATCAATGACGTTAGCATCATAGGAGGGGTCTTCAGGAAATAAGTAACTGGGCAAATCTTGTTTAAACCATTCATGCTCTCTAGGAAAGATACCACAATACACTATTGTAAGAACATGCTTTGGCAAGTCCCAAATAATTTAGACATGGGGCAATACAATATATCAGAATCAGAAAGACCTGGGTCTCTAGTCACTTACTAACTATGGGACCCTGGGTAAGTTCATTAACCCTTGCTCTAGAGTAACTATGATTATTCAGACTTGGGTATTTTGCTGACATTTTCACACAAAAAAATAAAATAAGTCTGTCACTTCAAAGGAAACAACTGGCAGTATTTGGTGCCAGTGATGAAATTCAAGCTTTCAAGTAAAATGTGAGAATTCTGTTTATAACGGAATTCTATATATACACAGAATTCTATATAACAGAATAATTTATGTATGTTTCCATAAGCTTAACAGCTTCTCAATATTTAAGAGACTTTTCTACTTTTAGAGTGAAGAGAACAATGACCATGATTTGATAGTATATAACGAAATGTGTTACCATTCTGAACACCAGAATGGTAACACTAACCCAATATTTTCCATATGACCAATGCAAGATGTTACATAATCATACACGGGCAGAAACTCCACTCAAAATGCAAAACAGACCCTGTGGATTTCAATGTAATAAAGTACAAAAGTTCACTGGTATGTTTTCTGATTTGATATTGCAATTAACATTAATCTTTGATTTAATATCAAAGAAAAATATCTGTAACTATCTGAAAGGTTATGAGAATGTTCCTCCCTTTTCCAGCAATATCTGAGATCAGATATGTTTCCTAGACTTCAACTAATACAATGTATTGCAACAGATGAATGAAGAAGTAGGTAAGAAAACCTAGCTGCTGTCTCTGATTAAGAGGATTTGAAAAATGTAAAATAATGGTACTCTTGTCATCATATTTTGTTTTGGAAAATAAGGTTATTTTTCATGGGAGACATATTATTCAGAATAAAATTGTAGTAGGTTTACTAATATTTTTAAGTGAATTAATGATTTAAAATTTTTTTCACTTTTGATTTCTAATATGAAATTGATAAAAATAACCTGCATTTAAAAAAAAGACCCTCTGGAGTCCTCGATTTTAAGACTGTGGTGGATGGGGGTGGGGGCAGTATTCAAGCCAAAACATTTGAGAACCTAGTCTCCTAGATCTTATTTTCACACTATTCCAGGCCTTTACACATGATGTTTACTACTGACACCCTAGAATATCCCATCCCTTTTCATTTAACTAACATATACTATTTCTTCAAGACTGTGTAACCATTGCTACAGGGCAAACTGAGCACTCTCTAATCTAAATTCAGATCAGTATATATTTTACCTGAATGCCTTCTACTAATTCATTTATGAATATTTACTAAGGACATACAATGGTAAAAATGCACACTCATTCACACAGAGATTACATTCTAGCTGAAAACAGACTAAACAAAGACTCTCAAAAATAAACACAGAATTACAAATACACAAATACAAAAACCCTGTGATAAAAATTATGAGTGAAAAGCACAAGGTAAAATAAGAGTATATAACTAAGAATGGGAGGTGAGTGCTTAAGGAAGCCACTCTCAATAATATTTAAGCAGAAATCAGAATGATTAGAAGTCAGCTAAGCAGAGCTGGGGAATAGATATTCCCAGCAAAACAAACAATATATGCGAAGATTCTGAGGTTAAAAAAATGTTTCCTATGTTCTGAACTGAGGCCAGAATCATGAAATCATAGTAAGTTACTGGTTGGAGTGGCAAAAGATATCAGGTTTTTCTAACAGCTGTAGGCTATAAAAATGGTTTTGGGACTGAACCTATGGTTGATGATAATAACAAAGATGTTAAAGAGGCAGGGGTGACATGATCTAATTTGCATTCTATGAAGATCATTCTGCTTGTGATAAAGTAACTGAATTGAAAAGATAAAACTAATAATGATGAGGAGGAGGAGGATGCTAGTGCAATAGTCCAAGTGAGAAAAGATGGTGTGCCGTGTCTTATGGATATATACAGAGGTGAAACTTCTACAGCTGCTAGTAAATGATACTATTATAACACTCATACTTTCTCACAGTTGTTACAGATTTTTATACTAAACTGAGAGCTCCTTGAAACAGGGACCATGCCTTATTCACCTGCATTTCAGTAGCCAGTATAGAGCAAGTGCTCAATAAATGCAGAATGATGAATAGACAAAGAAGTAAAAAATGAATTCATTATTTAATTGCTATATCATGATAATAATAAGCACCTACATAAACATTTGGGCTTCCCAGGTGGTGGGAAGATCCCCTGGAGAAGGGTATGGCAACCTACTCCAGTATTCTTGCTTGGAACTCCCATGGACAGAGAAGCCTGGCAGACTGCAGTTCATCGGTTCACACAGAGTCAGACATGAGTGAAGTGACTGAGCACTACTATCACAAATAAACATTCAGTAATAAAATGTAAGTACCAGTAAGTACTAATTTTTTGAAAAGAAATAACATAAAAAACAAATTGCTACATATCTAGCATTTTTAAAACATCAAATTTTAAAATAGGGTAGATAAACACTTTCGAATAAACTCCAAAAATTCATTCTTCTATTAAAACAATGAGATTACTAGCAGAAACTGTCAATGCTAACTTTTTTCAGAACTCTGGAAATTAACCAAAGGCTTGTAATAATCCGAGGAGTGTTTGTTTTTTAAAAAAATGGTTATGTTTCAGTAATAACAGTGAGATTTGTGACACTTTAAGTTATCCAATATCCATTTCCTCTTCCCCATTTCTATGGTGGCCTTGAAAACCTACAGCCTCACAATCATTTGAAACCCCCAAACCAGCACCTAGAACCACTGGGAGGCAAATAGGGAGAACAGGCTTAGAGTTCTCCAAAAGTCCTATCCCCAGAGAACTGTCATTATTAGACAGGGCTGGCAGATCTCTGGAAACCTCTTCTGTCAAGCCCTGTCTTCATCTGACCTTAGAGTTCCATCTGCAAACAGCCTTTTGTCCATAACACTTGTCAGAAACAATCAGTGGCAACTGTCTATAACATCCCAGCTGCCAAAGCAGCAAAAAGGACTGGAGCAAACAAGAAGCTGATCAAAAACCTTGAAAGGAAAAGTTAGGGACCAAGTTCCACAGGAGTCCTTAAAATACTCTTAAAATCCTAGAACTCACAAATGCAGGACTGTTGTTCATGCCCAAGAAAGCCCCTGATTTCTCATCACTGATTGACTCTGAGGCTCTAAGCTAGAAGGAATCAAGACTAATGCAGAGTTATGGACTTCTTATTAAAATGCTGAAGACACACCCTAACATGGACACAGAATCCCTCAGCAAAGGTTGGGAGACTGATTAGATCAAGGCCTTTAAGGAAATCTTTCTCTAGCAATTAGCTGACCATTAAGCTAACGAAGCAGAGACTTCAGTGGCCACCCTTGACAAAGAATACAGACTTAACAGAATTAGTTAAGTAAAATCACTAAGTAAATTAGAGCAACAACAGTGTACAACAATTACAAATTCCAGGCATCTATGCAAGAGAAATAAAAACATATGACCATTTAAAAACATATACATAAATGTTCATGGCAACATTATATGAACCGAAATTAGAAACAACTCAAATATCCATTAAGTGATAAATGGATAAACAAAATGTAGTTTATCTAAACAACGGAATATTTTTCAAGCAAAACATTAGTTAAGTGCTGATATTCTACACCATGAAAGAACCTTGAAAACATGCTAAGTGAAAGAAGCCAGACTCAAAAGGCTATATGCTGTGATTCTATTTATATGAAATGTTCAGAAGAGGCAAATCCATCAAGAAAGAAAGTAGAGGAGTGGCTGTCTGGGGCTGCGAGGAGGAGGAAGTGAGTCCAGAGCTTCTCTGGGGAATGAGAAAAGTGTTCTGGGATCAGAGTGGTGATGACCATACAACTTTGTGAACATGCTAAAAACCACTGAATCATACAATTTAAAGAAACAAATTTATGGTATGTGAATTATATCAATATAATAAATCTTTAAAAAAAAACAGGGATAATCTAAATTTTCATTTCTAATTAATTCTGAAAAAGAACCACAGTTCTTCATAATAATAACAGTGCCCATTAAAAAGCCATACCTTGGGATGGGGGGAGGATAAATTAGGTGATTGGTATTAACATATACACAGTACTATATATAAAATAGATAACCACCAAGAACCTACTGTACAGCATAGGGAACTATACTCAATATTTTGAAGTAACCTATAAGGGAAAAGAATCTGAAAAGGAAGATATGTACATGTGTGTATGTGTATGTCTGTGTCTGTGTGTGTGTAAGTCACTGTGCTATATACTTGAAAGTAACACATTGTAAACCAACTATATTTCAATAAAAATTTTTTAAAAATTTAAATGATAATAAAGCAACCCCAAACATGTTAAAAAAAAAGAGTCATACACCCAGCTTTTAATTTGAAGGAGTCAATTTCTAAATAAGGTAAGTAGTAACCAGGATGTTTATGAAGGTTCACCTGAAACAAAATCAATTCATTTCAGATGGGTTACTACACAGCCTCCAGAAACCATCTTTCTGTCACTGCTGCCTAATACCTGTCTTTCATATAAGACTTAAGACTAAATGAGCTATAATGACTCCAATCAAACTGTATAAATTTCACAATGTGTGCAAACTTCTTTAAGTGCAGCTAAAAGGTCCTTATATATTCACTTTAGGATAGTATTAATGGCTAATATTATATGCTGGGCATTATTCTAAAAATTTGAATTATATTAGAATGAATATTTGTAGTTTCTAACATTCAACTGTGTCTAGACCTACAGAAATAGTAAATTCTTATGTTTTAACCTAAGACTATCCCCCAAACAAATCCACTATAAATGATGTAATTAAAGCACAAAGAGGTAGGAAATATGCTAATAGCTAGTAAACAAAGAATCAGAATGTGTGATTAGACAGCTGAACTTCAGATCTTTCATTTTAACCATAACAACATTAACAGCAATACTAAGTTTAAAGCACTTAAAGATGTGAGTTTCCTGAAGACAATGTCTTTCTTGCCTACCAATATTCCCAACAATTAGCACAGGACCTTGAACAAAGCAGATGTTAAATAACTGTTAAGTAAATAAAAATGATTAAATGAACAAATAAATATAGATATATTTTCTAATCTCCAATAGCCTACCATCTTAAGAGAAAAAAAAAAGATATGTACACAAATAAAAGCATACTTTAGAGATATTGAGGGCTTGGTTCTAGAACATTGCAATAAAGTGAATACTGCAATAAAGCAAGCCACCGATATTTTGGTTTCCCACTGCATATAAAAATTATGTTTATAGTGGGGCTTATTTATAGGATAAGGTCAAAATTGATGTGTGATCTAGTAGGTAAAGGCTTAGGATTCTCTCCCTCAGTCCTCAGATTTAGGTAACTCATTGGCCTTTTCTCTGACCAACATAGCACATATCAAGGCAGTTAAAATAGCATCCTTGAAAATATATATAAAGTCTCTTTTACCTATAACTGTTTAAGCCAATGAAACCTTTCAAATTTTATTACTATGGGGCTTTTAGGTAGCACTTTACATTTTCATGTTGCTAATAGTTTTATTCTACTGAAATAAATGAATGTCATAAAAAATTATGCTTAGAGTATCTTTAAACTATTAAATTTGCAAAAACATTATGCCCAAAAAACAATGTATGTACCTTGATTAAAAAACATTTTATTGCTAAAAAATGCTAACCATAATCAGATGTGGATTCCACAAACCTTTAATTTGTAAAAAAACAAACAAAAAAACACAATATCTACACAGTGCAAAAAAAGTAAAGCAGAGTAAAACTAGGTATGTCTGTAACTATAAAAGAGAATGTCGTAGCATGGCAGAAATATAACATTATTATGGTATGTTGGAGAAAGGATGGATGTCATAGGACTGGTGTAGCAATATGGATTAGTTGAATAGTTCAGGTTCTGAAATCAGGCAATTTCTGAGCCCTACGTTTGTAAAATGAGAATAACAATAGCTACCTATTAAGACTTGTAACTTCCCTAGTGGTCCAGTGGTTAAGAATCTGCCTTCCAATGCAGGGGATATGGGTTCAACCCTTGGTCCGGGAACTAAGGTCCCACACGCCACAGAGTAACTGAGTCCACACATAGCCAGAAAACCCGAGCACCACAACTACGGAGCCCTTGTGCTGCAACTAGAGAGAATCCTGCACGTCACAATGCAGAGCCCATGTGCCACAACTAAGATACGATGCAGCCAAGAAGAAAATAAATGACGTGTATTTTTAAAAAAGGAAATACTATAAGCATTTAAAAGAAATAAGAGCTATCTATTAAGAATCAATGCTTCAATATTATAAAGTAATTAGCCTCCAACTAATAAAAATAAGTGAAAAAAAAAGAATCAATGCAAGAAAATATGTCAAATATCTAGCAAAATGCCTGTTATATAAAATTATTCAATTAGTAATTCTTGCTGAATTGTATTTTGTCAAATGAATAATTTCCAAACATTAAATACAGAATATGAAAAAATTTTAAAATGATGAAAACTATAAATTCAAGTTACTACTGAAATTAAAAGACACCTTCTCCTTGGAAGAAAAGCTATGACAAACCTGGACAGCATATTAAAAAGCAGAGACATTACTTTGCCGACAATGGCCTGTCTAAGTAAAGCTATGGTTTTCCAGTAGTCATGTATGGATGAGAGAATTGGACCATAAAGAAGGCTGAGAACCAAAGAATTGATGTTTTTGAACTGTGGTGTTGGAGAACACTCCTGAGAGTCCCTTAGACTGCAAGGAGATCAAACCAGTCATTCCTAAAGGAAATAAGTCCTGAATATTCAGTGGAAGGACTGATGCTGAAGCTGAAGCTGAAGCTCCAATATTTTGACCACCTGATGTGAAGACCTGACTCATTAGAAAAGACCCTGATGCTAGGAAAGACTGAAGGCAGAAGGAAAAGGGAACGACAGAGATGGTTGGATAGCATCACTGACTCAATGGACATGAGTTTGTACAAGCTCCAGGAGATGGTGAAGGACAGGAACACCTGGCGTGCTGCAGTCCATGGGGTCACAAAGAGTCAGACATGACTGAACAACAACAATTTTAAGTACTGAGATGGTTGCCACTCTTTTATACCACCCACATATGTGTAAATTAACTTATCCTAGTTGGTTTTTATTTACATTGTTCTTCTAAAGATTGTGAATATACAGGAACCTGTTCAATACAACAGAATCAGTACTTTTATTATTCTAAGTGTATGTGCTGATGTGAACAGGTGCAAGTATATACACATATTAGCACATTTAATGCTCTAAGGAAAAGCCAATTAAGTGACCTATTTACTCTAAAGAACTATGAACACAAAAGAGTTTTCCCCTGCTAAGTTGTCCATTTCCATCCCAAAACTGAACACGGAACTAATTCACAATGTCACAGTTTTGCGTGTGAGGCCTGGAACACTAGCAGAGGCTGAGGGAAGAAGACACAGGAGTGCAAGAGAGCTCAGCAGCAGTTACACAGCGACTGCCGCAGCCATCATCCAAACACTTCAAGAGCCACAGTCTGACTTACAAAGACAAGGCAGAGTGTTCAGGAAAGATGTCAAAAGGATGCATTTGCAAATGAATGCCTGATGAACTGTCAGGTAGGAACAAAAATCCCTCTAAGAAATATGCCTGACAGATAAAACACAGAGGGCGATGCGTCATCCTGACTTGTGTGTGCTGTATAAAGGTCATATTCACAGTAACACCAGCGACTGCACTTTCCAAAGTTTCTCACATAACAAGAAATCCTTCACAGCAAACCCACTAGCGGCTATTTTTGGATTAAAAATCTTAGCAAAACTCTTTATGGTTTATTTCATCAACTCTATGTAAAATATATAACTCTCACCCTGTTTTTTTCCATTTGAAACGTATTCAAATACTTTCTGAATGTTTACTGTATTTCTAGGCCTTCTAGCACTGTATATATAAAGATGCTAAGACACTCTCTCTACCCTTTTATAGTTACAAGAGAGGAGAAAGATACACTGAAAACAGCTAGATACAAAATGAGAATGAAAGCATGAACAAAATGTGGAAATCACAGATGTGCAAGCAACCGACAATGCCCTGGAGAATCAGGAGTGATTTCACAAGGAAGGTGTTAAGTGAACAGAATTTTAAAGGATGAATGGAAATCTTTCAGGTCCAAAAGGGTAGAAACGGTATTAGAGGCAAAGGAATAATATAAACAAAGACATGAAGGCATAAAATATGCATCATTATATTTGAGGAACAAGGAAAAGTTCACTGTGGCTGGAGCTCTGGCACAAGGGGTAAGAGCAGGAAGAAGTAAGCATAGCCTTACTATGACAGGCCTTGTATGCTTTGCTACTTTAACTGAAAAGCTTGGGACACAATCTGAAATAATTAAAAGCTGAATGACAGGGCCAGGTTTATATAATAAGGAAACTAAAATTCATGTAATACTTTAGTGTTACAGTGCCTATCACAAAGCAAGCATTCAGTTAGTGGTACTAATATTAATACTAGAATATGTACTTAATAGTCACAAAAAGAATATTCACCTGATGTCTTTGATAGTTGCTCGTTTCAGGGGATCAACCTGCAGCATATGCATCAGGAGAGTGGCAACAGAACGATTGAGATATTCTGGGATGTAAAAAACACCCCCTCGGATCTTCTTAAACAGTGTAGGCACATGCTCATCATCAAATGGGAGGGTGCCACAAAGAAGAGCATACAAAATAACACCACAGCTCCAGATATCAACTTCAGGACCTGCATACAGCCTAGGGAAGATGACAACACAAAACTGAAATGCAAGTGTCACTTCTCAACTGCATGTACCCTACTTCTTCTCTGTGTACCTATATACACAGTGCAGACTCCAAGTGTATTGCTTTCCAAGCTCTGTAATGAAATCCATGGCCACTCCCCAACACTCAATGGTTGTTCCCCAGAAAGAACAATTGGTCTAACCCATTGCTATTCAAATTTCCCAAGAGAAAATAGTACTTATGTGTACTTGACACAAACTAAACTAAACTTACTAATTAAAAAGTATAAAACTTTATATGGTTGATTTTTGATAGAAACATCAAAGTAGATGACCACAAACTTTAAGAAAAGCAATACTATATAGTGTATAGGCTAAATCTTCTTACACAAAGCAATTAAAAGACAAGACAATGCATAAAAAATAGAATGTTTATGCCTGACACACCTATTTTAAAGAATATTTGAAATAGTTAAGTACCTAAGTAGTTCTATAGCAATCTCTTTCACGGTATTCATGCTATATCACATTATCCTGCATACCTACTACTTTCATTCAAATCACCTGGTAGCTCATGGGGCTAAGAAGACCTTTATCCAGAAAACCTATGCCTAGAATGTTGTTCCTTTTCTCTCTCACCTTTCTACAGTGTTAAAATTCCCCTGATGGCACATTGCCAAACTCAAACCTGAGCCTCAGGTAATAGAGTAAATCTCTACAATTCCAATTAAAACAGTATAATCCATTTCAATATAAATCACTATCCAATGTTTACAGTGTTTGCTATGTAGCCCAAGCTCCTGTATATGCAATGATAACTGTTTTATATTTTCTCTCACAGAATTCTGTTAACTTAAGATCAGACACTGGTCACCAAAGAAGACTTGAGATTATCACTGCAATCTGTATAAACATTTAAAAAATGTATCAATGAGTAAGTTACATGAATAATTAGTCTTCTCTTATGCAGTTTGCTTTCATGAAATGACAATAATGTCTCCCCTCAAAACCTCATTCTTCCAAAGACAACATAAATATACTTTGCATGCTTTATAAGAGTATATAAAGTATGATTAAAAGACTGTGTCTGATAAGTAAATAATGACACTAGCAAATGCTTGCTTTCCTAGCTGCAATTGCCTAAAATGAAAAAAAAAAAAAATCAAGATTTTTTTCAATTTTAATGGAAAAACTCTTTAAATACATTCATAACAAAATCAAAATTAAATGTTTTAAAAAGTGTTTAATGTAACTCTTCTGTCTTCAATGACAGAAAATTAAAGGGACAATGTGCTTCTATTAAAAACCTTATCTTCCAAAGAGAATATATTAAAGTTAAATGTAATCAGAATGAACAAAACATTACAAAAAGCTTACTCTTCACTGATATACTATATTACCTGCCTGAGATGACTTCAGGTGCTGCATAATTTGGGGATCCGCAGCTAGTTCGCAGAAATTCACCATCAGACATCATGTTAGATAATCCTAAAAATAAGAGTAGTATGTTTAGCTGGTGCTAGATATGTTTAATGTAAATATGGATATATGCAAAAGCAATAACATCAAGTCTGTAGTACCTCAAATATCATAACATTTACTTATTTTAAAAAGCAGTATGAAGTATTTGTTAGACTAGAAAGAGACCATTTCAGAGTGCTTATACATGACAAAAAAGCTAAAGCACATCACACATAAGACTGAAATTCCTTTTCTAAATAAGAATGTTGATTCACTTCACAAATATGAGGTTATTCTAAATTATGCGTACTTTTTCAAACATAAAAGCATCAAAATATTACTTACCCATTTCTCCAAGTGAAAGAAAACAGAGATTACTATCACTTTTTTATACTCTGCTTTCATAGGCCTTTTAAAAAAATCTCTAGGTAGAAATCAGATAGGCTCCAATTTATAAAGATTATGTTCCAAAAGTTTTTAATTTGGAGAGCTTTAACTCAACATAAAAAAATATCCTATTGAACCAAAATCTAGTTGAACTACAGCACTAAATGAGCTTTATGACTTAGAGAAGAAAGAGAAATAGGAAAAGGAATTTCCTGACTTTTAAAGACAAGGTACAGACAAAAATGTTAACTAAATAATGCTGAACTCTGGTACCTTTTCATCTCTTTCTATAATCTCTCACTTCCTAAACCCTTTCCTCTACTATGGCACCCTGTCCAGGTATGTTGATCCCAGAAAATGTTTGGTCATAAAAATTACATTTTTATCCTTTATTTTACCAACAAAAACTCCTGTTCTTTTATCAACAGCTGTTAGATGTTACTCCGCAGTCTACTGACATTCCTCTTCCATCAGTTCAGAAGGATTACAATGCTCCACAACTGCATGGAAAATTTCACAAACCTCCGTTTAAGTGCAATTATCAGGGAAAAAGCCTGTACTTTCATTAGATTTTCAAAGGGGGTTTGTAACTCTCACAAAAAACACTCAAGTCTCATTTCCTCAGGAGGGAATGCAGATTGAGTAGGTTTACCTTGATACCAGCTCTCTAACTTCTCTAGATGTACCTGCATTTTTAGAAAGTGGTTTAAATGAACAGAACAAGCTAGTGTGCAGACTGTGCGACTAATCCTTTTTCACAATATAGGATTTACATCCTTGAAATTGAAAGTTTTAGCTCATTAAGAATTGGTACTGTCACACTTGCAAAGGCAGCTAGTACACTTCTGAACAACTCTGGAGTTACATACCAAAATCAGCTATCTTGGCATTCATCTGTGCGTCCAATAGCACATTCTCTGGTTTCAGGTCTCGATGAACAACCATATGCCTATGACAGTAATCCACGGCAGACAGAATCTGCTGAAAGAGCCTCCGAGCTTCCATCTCTTCAACCTATCAGGTATAAAAGAAAGTATACCAATAACATTTGGGACATCTACATAGCAAGTTTTAGTTTCACAATCAACCTAAATATAACTGAGTAATAAGCAATTAGAATTGTGTTAGAATTCTTAACAAATCAGACAAACAAGCCAAAAACTTGCAGTCAAGCTCAACATATCAATCGACAGGCTTTTCTTTGCTGCTAGATGTCACAGTTCATTTTCAAATAATATTACTAAATGTGCACAATGTTTCACAAGTAAAACAATCTAAAACAGAATTTACATGAAACTGCTAAGAAAAGGAAACATCTGAAGCTTCAGCATGATGTTATGGAACTGATTTTGTACTTTGAAAAGCATAGGCTTTTCATGTTGGCAATTAAGTGAAATAAATATATTTCCTAAAATCAGTATGTCATAAAGTGCATGTTTTAAGAAAGAAAATACATCTAATACTCTGTATGTTTAGTTACACATTATTACAGAAACAATCTCGACTTTGAAGATAGCTTTGTGGTTTGCTATTTCCTACTACTTCCCTCTTTTTTTTGCTTAAGGGCTTATTGTACTAGATAGAATGTTACTTACCCGTCCATGTTTACAGATGTAGTCAAATAATTCACCACCAGACACATATTCCATTACCATAAAAAAGTCTGTTGGAGTGCTGATCACCTGGTATCTTTTTTTGTCAATGAAAAATATAATAAAAATATTACTTTAACCAAAATCAGCCTAGTATGTTCATTCCTACTATAAATTGATATTCCAGTGTTTTATAATACTTTAAAATACTTTTTGATGTCAACAAATTATATAATGTTATCAAAATAATCACAGAGTTATAAACATGGAGGTTCATAAAATTCAGTTAGGTCCTGGAGCTTACAGACTTCCTTCCAGATCTCGCCTTTCATGTTTACAAAATCTAGGAAATCATCCATTCCTTGACAACTAAATTAAGCACTAATTTTTCCATTTAAGCAAAAATTTGTTTGTAGTCTATGGAGATGGACTATGACCAACCCAGACAGCATATTAAAAAGCAGAGACATTACTTTGCACACAAAGGTCCATCTAGTGAAAGCTACGGTTTTTCCAGTAGTCATGTATGGATGTGAGAGTTGGACTATAAGGAAAGCTGAGTGAAAAAGAATTGATGCTTTTAAACTGTGGTGTTGGAGAAGACTCTTGAGAGTCTCCTGGTCAGCAAGGAGATCAAACCAGTCAATCCTAAAGGAAATCAGCCCTGAATATTCATTGGAAGGATTGATGGTGAAGCTCCAATACTTTGGCCACCTGATGCTAAGAACTAACTCATTAGAAAAGACCCTGATGCTGGAAAAGATTGAAGGCAGGAGGAAAAGAGGACAACAGAGGCTGTTGAGACAGTTGGATGGGATCACTGACTCAATGGACATGACTTTGAGAAAGCTCTGGGAGTTGGTGATGGACAAGGAAGCCTGGCATGCTGTAGTCCATGGGGTCACAGAGTCAGACATGACTGAGTGACTAAACTAAACTATGGAGTTGAGGTGTGTTATATTTAAATAACAGTGAAAAATATTCTTGGAAAGGAAAATGTTATCAACATAGATACATAATCATCAAAATCTTAAAGTTGACAAATGAACCTGTCTTCAAGATATAAAATGCAAAAAAAGGGAAGGAAGGTATAGATTAAAAGTAAATTAAGAGACATGTTGTATAGACTAGTTTTGATTCCAGTTCAAACAGACCAACTTTAAAAACTATTTATAAAACAAGAAAGTCTGAATGACTGGTTGATAATATTTTAACTGTTTAAAATATTAGATGATACTAAACTATGCTAATTTTATTAAAATATAGCCTTTATCTTCCAAAGTAGATATTGAAGAGATTACAGATTAAAAGGTGACTCAGACTTTGTATCTGCCTGCAATACAGGAGACCTGGGTTCGATCCCTGGGTCAGGAAGATCCCCTGGTGAAGGGAATGGCTACCCACTCCAGTATTCTTGCCTGGAGAAGTCCATGGACAGAGGAACTTGGCGGCCTACAGTCAGTCCATAGTTCACAGGGTCAAAAAGAGTTGGATACAACTGAGTGACTAACACTTTCACACTTTCACTTTACAGATTAAAAACATACTATTTGGGATTTGCTTCAAAATAATTTGGGATGGGAGAAGTAGGAGGAAGCAGATAAAATAATACACTGATAACTGCTGAAGTTGAATGATAGACATATAAGGCTTCATCACTTTACTTTTTTTTGTATGTATTATGAAATTTCCATAATACAAAATTAAACAGATGTATGTATGTACATATGTGTGTGTTTATATGTGTGAAAATATATATGTTCTAGGCACTCAAAGCTGGGCACATAAAACAATAAAGAATCTTAGCTCTATTTGTCAAAATTTTTCCTAAAAAATTATAACTTCCACAACCACACACAATTTTACTAGAGTTTTGAAAACTTTAAAAACATGTTAACTATAGTATTAATGTTTTAAATGATGGTTGCATCTAACATATATAAATGAACAATTGTTCTACTCTGCTTTGTTTCTAGAGGATTAGTTATATCCAGCTGATTATTAGAAATATCTAAATTACACTGAGTTTCTATTAAGAGCTGCTATGTATAGCTGTGTGGTTGTGCATGGCTTAAAGGCACCCAATGGAAGGCACAAGCAGGGGCTAAGAAGTGGCCCAGAGGCCACCCTGTAGGCAGGATGTGTCGGAAGCAGGAGAAGCTTTTGGTAATTAGTCCACCCAAATGGGCACTGTTCATTATTAATGTTCAAAAAAGAAAGTTCTAAATGGTGGTCCTGGTAACTATTCTTCTTTAAAGAGGAAGGAAAAAATGACCAGGAAATTGGTGACATAACTACATAGTATATATTGTAAGAGAGGACACATCATATATAAATTAGTACCTGCAAAAAGTAAAATTGTTAACAACATTGTAAACCAACTATACTTCAATTTTAAAATAGAAAAAAAGTAAAATATAAAAGCTATACTACTGAAAATGATTACAGATATTCATAAGAAATATTTATAATAGCAATCACTAGTCTTTGGGATGAAAAAGGTACCCCACTTTCTGTAGATTAATATAACTGGCAAATAAGGTTGAGTCTTCTCAAATGAATTGTGAACAGGGAACTTACCCTAAGAACTCTAGCGGCATAAAAGGGTTCTAAAGAAGCAATCCTAACAGGCACCAAACTCTAATAGAATAAGATGAACAGTAAACAGCAAGAGCACCCATGGTGTAACCTCACGGTAGGCTGATCTGATTTATCAACATAAGTCTCAGCCACTTTTCTGCTCTGTTCATTTTTGGGTATAAGAGAAAAGCAGTGGTTCCAATAAATTTACCTGCTGATTCCTCTGAGTATATCATAGGTCTTCAATAAATATTGTTGGACCCAGAAACTTGATCAGATATCAGTTTGATTTTTATTTTTTATCTAAAGACTAGATGGTGGTGTGTGCTTCCAGCCAAAGGTGTATGATGTCTGTCTCTTTTCTGAGATATTAGGAGCCATTACTGATCACAGCATAGATCTTATTAAGTCACAATGAAATTTTAAATGCTGGCCAATTTCCATAGTCTAGTAATGAACTATAGTCTATAGGAAATACTCCCTCAAAAACCTCCATTGTCTTTGAAGTGCAGGCCATCAGGTAACATTGCCCGACACTTTCTCTTGTTATATTCATCAACCAATCTCCTTATCATTTCCCTGTCATTCTGACTTAATGTCTTTTTCCCACTACTAACGTTGTCTATATGCCAGCAAATCTGGAAAACTCAGCAGTGGCCACAGGACTAGAAAAGGTCAGTTTTCATTCCAATTCCTAAGACAGGCAATGCCAAAGAATGCTCACACTACTGCACAATTGCACTCATCTCACACACCAGTAAAGTAATGCTCAAAATTCTCCAAGCCAGACTTCAGCAATAGTGAAGCCTGAACTTCCAGATGTTCAAGCTGGTTTTAGAAACGGCAGAGGAACCAGAGTTCAAATTGCCAACATCCGATGGATCATCAAAAAAACAAGAGAGTTCCAGAAAAACATCTATTTCTGCTTTACTGACTATGCCAAAGCCTTTGACTGTGTGGATCACCACAAACTGTGGAAAATTCTTCAAGAGATGGGAATACCAGACCACCTGACCTGCCTCTTGAGAAACGTGTATGCAGGTCAGGAAGCAACAGTTAGAACTGGACATGGAACAACAGACTGATTCCAAAAAGGAAAAGGAGTACATTAAGGCTGTATATTGTCACCATGCTTATTTAACTTACACGCTGAGTACATCATGAGAAACGCTGGGCTTTATGAAGCGCAAGCTGGAATCAAGATTGCCGGATCAATAACCTCAGATACACAGATGACACCACCCTTATGGCAGAAAGTGAAGAAGAACTAAAGAGCCTCTTGATGAAAGTGAAAAAGGAGAGTGAAAAAGCTGGCTTAAAGCTCAACATTGAGAACATTAATATCATGGCAGATGGATGGAGAGATAGTGGAAATAGTGGCAGACTTTATTTTTTGGGGCTCCAAAATCACTGCAGATGGTGACTGCAGCCATGAAATTAAAAGACACTTACTCCTTGGCAGGAAAGTTATGACCAGCCTAGACAGCATATTAAAAAGCAGAGACGTTACTTTGCCAACAAAGGTCCATCTAGTCAAAGCTATGGTTTTTCCAGTGGTCACATATGGATGTGAGAGTTGGACTATAAAGAAAGCTGAACACCGAAGAATTAATGCTTTTGAACTATTGTGTTGCAGAAGACTCGAGAGTTCCTTGGACTGCAAGGAGATCCATCCAGTCAATCCTAAAGGAAATCAGTCCTGAATATTCACTGGAAGGACTGATACTGAAGCTGAAACTCCCAATACTTTGGCCACCTGATGCGAAGAGCTAACTTATTTGAAAAGACCCTGATGCTGGGAAAAACTGAAGGCAAGAGGAGAAGGGGATGACAGAGCATGAGATGGTTGGATGGCATCACTGACTCAATGGACATGAGTTTGAGTAAACTCTGGGAGTTGCCGGTGGACAGGGAGGCCTGGTATGCTGCAGTCCATGGGGTCGCAAAGAATCGGGACACGACTGAGTGACTGAACTGAACTGAACGTTGTCATCATTCTGGGTGAACAAGATATCCATGTAGATGATCTGTCCAATACATGCCCTCTAATTTCCTTGACTCCCTAGTTTTCATTCTCTTTTCCTCTACTACACACAGCCACTTACTCCATGGTCACATGCTAAGACTAATTCCTCCGATTATGCACTGGATTCCTTTGTCCCACCTACTGAAGAACTTGGTTTCTACAATTAGCTATTCTTTCTCCTGTATCAATCTCTCCCTCTTGATTCTACTGTCCTCTCTAACACACAAGCATTCTATAGTATCTTCCATCTTAAAAAACAGTTTAGATCTCACACTTCCCTCTAGATACCACTCCTGTGTCTCTCCTCTCTAAAATCCTTGAATGCTCTATTGTTACTATCTCCCCTTCTATATCTCAGATTCTTTCCTGACAGGTTTTTGTCTTCACAATTCCAACAAATTTCAAAGACACCAGCAACTTCCACCTTGCCAAATCTAATGGTCAATTCTCAGTCTCATCTTACTCAATATTCAACAGTATAAGGAAAAGTT